AGGCGGAGGCCATACATGCGTCACTTACCTGGGCGCCATAGCCGTGATCCACGCTGTCGACCTACACAACAACAACCACAACAATAACCAAAACCACAACCACCTGGGCGCCATAAATGTGCTTCACGCTGTCGACGTGCACAACACCAACAAGAACAAAAATAGCAACAACCACAAGAAGAAGAAGAAGAAGAAGAAGAAGAAGAAGAAAAATAAGAAGAAAGCTATATGACCTGCAAATTCATATCCTTTTTATTTGTTTAGGCAGAATCATTTTTGGTTCACCCAACACTTTTGACCTGCACATCAACAACCACAACAACAACCACAACAACAACCAGGACCACAACCACCTGGGCGCCATAGCTGTGCTCCACGCTGTCGATGTGCACAACACCAACAAGAACAACGATAGCAACAACCACAAGAAGAAGAAGAAGATGAAGAAGACAAAGAAGAAGAAGAAGAAGAAGAAAGTTATATGACCTGGAATTGCATATCCTTTTTATTTGTTTAGGCAGAATCATTTTTGGTTCACCACACACTTCTGCATTTTCTACTCCAAAATTGAATTCGACCTGCACAACACCAACAAGAACAACAACAGCAACAACCACAACAACAACCAGAAGCAGAACCACAAGAAGAAGAAAAAGAAGAAGAAGAAGAAGAAGAAGAAGAACAAGAGGGGCGGAGGCCATACCTGCGTCACTTACCTGGGCGCCATAGCCGTGATCCACGCTGTTGACCTGCACAAGAACAACCACAACAACAACCAGGACCACAACCACCTGGGCGCCATAGCCGTGCTCCACGCTGTCGACATGCACAACACCAACAAGAACAACAACAGCAACAACCATGTGAAGAAGAAGAAGAAGAAGAAAACTATATGACCTGCAATTGCATATCCTTTTTGTTTGTTTAGGCATAATCATTTTTGGTTCACCCAACACTTTTGACCTGCACAGCAACAACCACAACAACAACGAGGACCACAACCACCTCGGCGCCATAGCCGTGCTCCACGCTGTCGACATGCACAACACCAACAAGAACAACAACAGCAACAACCACAAGAAAAAGAAGAAGAAGAAAAAAAAAAAAGTTGTATGACCTGCAATTGCATATCTTTTTTATTTGTTTAGGCGGAATCATTTTTGGTTCATGAAACACTTCTACATTTTGTACTCTAAAATTGAATTTGATCTGCACAACACCAACAAGAACAACATAGCAACAACCACAACAAGAACCAGAAGCAGATCCACAATAAGAAGAAGAAGAAGAAGAAGAAGAAGAAGAGGGGCGGAGGCCATACCTGCGTCACTTACCTGGGCGCCATAGCCGTGCTCCACGCTGTCGACCTGCACAACAACAACTACAACAACAACCACGACCACAACCACCTGGGCGCCATAGCTGTGCTCCACGATGTCGACGTGCACAACACCAACAAGAACAACAGCAGAAACAAGCACAAGAAGAAGAAGAAGCAGAAGAAGAAAGCTCTATGACCAGCAATTGCATATCCTTTTTATTTGTTTAGGCAGAATCATTTTTGGTTCACCAAACACTTTTGACCTGCACAGCAACAACCACAACAACAACCATGACCACAACCACCTGGGCGCCATAGCAGTGCTCAACGCTGTTGATGTGCACAACACCAACAAGAACAACAACAACAACAACCACAAGAAGAAGAAGAAGAAGAAGAAGAAGAAGAAGAAGAAGAAAAAGAAGAGATCTATATGACCTGCGATTGCATATCCTTTTTATTTGTTTAGGTTGAATCATTTTTGGTTCACCAGACACTTCTATATTTTCTACTCCAATATTGAATTCGAACTGCACAACACCAAAAAGAACAACAACAGCAACTAGAACCAGAACCACAAGAAGAAGAAGAAGAAGAAGAAGAAGAAGAAAAAGAAGAAAAAGAAGAAGGGCGGAGGCCATACCTTCGTCACCTACCTGGGCGCCATAGCCGTGATCCACGCTGTCGACCTGCACAACAACAACCACAATAACAACCAGGACCACAAGCACCTGGTCCTTATGTCAGAAAGTGGTAACTGGCATAGACTTCGACTCATACAGGACGACTTCTCTACTCAATGCATCGTAAGTGATGCCGGCCTGCTGAGACTTGTCAAAGAAATGCCCGTGTAGGGCCTCTGGCATGACACGATAAAACAACTGGACCAGTTGGGGCTTAGTGACCCCATGGTCCGGGACGGCTACTAAGTCGTCTATGGTACCCTTGAGTGCCTTGGCACTCCTCCACTGCCATGAGTGGATGGTCTGCAACTTGTCTGAGGCTCTGACGCCTCGCGTTGGGTCAGCAAATCGCTCCTTAAGGAGCTTGAGGAACTTAGAGAGGGGGGTGACTTTGGAATATGCAACCAGGTTGTTCTCACAACGGGCTGCGCTCGCAAGGGACCTGGCGAAGCTAGCCGCTTCGTCCTTCAGGGCCTGGAAGGCCACGAGGACTTGCTCCTCTATCAGGATATGCTGTAAATAAATGTAGTTGTCGACACTGGCCTCCCAGTTGTCAAAGTTCTCCTCCTTCTTTCCCCCGTACGCGTCTGGGAACTTAAGCTTGACAGGCTTTTTAGGGGGTCTGCTCTCACCCTCTACAGCAGCTATGGCTTTGGCACCCTGGATGGCGTTCTCACAAAACTTTCCTACGTTGTCCCTCAACTGTTTCACTTCGCCCCCAATGTGGGTGACGATCTCGCGCGCAAAATCCCTGAACCCAGACCGCATAGCACTCAGGGCTACATCCTGGCTCCATCTGGCCTAACGCTCCTCCATCCAGGCCTTGCTSAATACCTCTASGTAGCCCAATACCTTATCCCACTTGGCCTTATCATCTGGCTGGGCCAGCACCTCCGCCCTACACTCCTGCACCTTTGCCACCGCTGCGGTCATCTTATTYWCTTCTTCTCTCCTCCTCCTCTTCTCCCTCTTCATTCTCAACTTCCATTGTAACTTTTGCTCGTCTTCCCTCTCTCTTCATTCCATGGGGTCCGTCATGGCTGCTAGCTCAGCGGCGAGTGCGGCCTTCTCGTCCTCAGTCACATATGACTCCGCCTCCTCATCTTCTCCCAACGATAAATTAGCAACCCTCTCACTGATCTTCTTCTCAATCTCTACATCTATGTCCCTCTTCATCGTGCCACCACTGCTCCCCACTCCACTCTCAATTCTCATTCTTTCCTTTTCCTCTTCTGCTGCCGCTTCTTCTTCCTCTCCATCTCCTCTTCTATCTCTTTCATCTTCGCCGCCTGCTCATCTGCGATAGCTTTTAACTTCGCCTGCTTTTCACGCTCTTCTCTCCCTGTTTTCTTTCACTAGGGCGGCCATCTTCTCTTGTTGCTCCTTGCTATAGGGGCTAGTCTCTAACCCAATACGGGTCTCAACCATGGTGATAAGCGTACAACCGGGTTAGTGGTTCCAAACCTCACCACGTAGACTTTAACCCCTGACTGACAGACCTACTGACTCAATCTAAGACTCACAGAATCGTGACAGGGATCCTGCCAACTAGGATCTCTAGCCTAGACCTAAGCTATGGCTGTCATTACTGAACCAGTGGCTGATCAGGAGGCATTTAAGGAGATCCCCCGTAGCTCCGCAAGAATTCTTTAACGTCGCAGACAGGACGACGTGATCAGCTTGGTTCTGCCTGTGCTTTCAGCCCACAACTCAGCCTTTCCGGCCTACTGTGCGACACCGAGCAGCCCGCCGGTTTGTACCGGTCCTTGGGAGGGTTTGACCTCCGGAACAGTCGAGTTGTCAGACACAGATCCTCAGCCTTACTTGGTCCGGTAGGGGAGTGGTTCAAACAGGCCCTCAACACTTAAACATTGCCTGGTGTGTCAGCCCTAACTGCCGTTCAGGCCCACTGAGTCCCACCAACCGTTTCCAGCCGGTCAGCACCGGTCCTTGGGGGGGTTATGCCCCCATGGAAAGTTGGATCAGCCACAATCTTAGCCCTACAAGGTCAGACTAGGATTTCGTCATCCAAGCCCTATCCTTCATCCACAGAGTGCTATCACCTAGGACAGAAGAGACTCAATGCAGAAAGAATAGACAGACTGACTTGACTCAGCAAGTATCGGGGGTGTGTGCACATCCATAGGGCGAGGGGTAGGCTGAAGGCTTGGCGAGATATTACCAACTCCAGCTTGGTCAAAGTCTTGGTCAACGGTCTTGGTCAACGCCGTTCAACGCTGCGGTCAACCCTTGGTCAACCCTCCGGTCAGCTATGGCTGTCGTCTCGTCATCCTCGCCAACCCTCTTCTTCTTCTTCACCTTCCTCGCCTCCTTTCACCCGCTGTCTTCTTCTTCTCTTTCCCTTTTTTTTTTTTTTTTTTTTTTTTTTTACTCGGCCTCCTCTTCACCTCTTGGCTATGGCTGCTCTTCTACCTCCTCGGTCTCTCCCCCTCTGTCCTTCTCTCTCCTACTTTGTCACTCCGTGGTACAGGCTGCGTGGCTATGGCCTTTGGCTTCTCCTTTGTGGACTGCACAACAACTTCACAGGTACGTAACAGCCAATCTTGTATCACTCATCTCTCTTTCTCTCTCTCTCTCTCTCTCTCTCTCTCTCTCTCTCTCTCTCTCTCTCT